GATAAATGGAAAAATGCAAAAGTTGTTCCAATTTTAAAGCCGTATAAAAATCCAGCTGAAGCTTCTAGCTACCGTCCAATAATTTTGCTTTCTTCAATAAGTAAACTTTTTGAAAAAATAATTTTAAATAGAATGATGCTTCACATCAATACGAACTCAATTTTTGCAGATGAGCAGTTTGGATTTCGCCATGGGCATTCAACTACTCATCAACTCTTAAGAAATACCAATTTAATTCGTTCAAACAAATCTGAAGGCAGCTCAACTGGAGTTGCTCTTCTAGACATAGAAAAAGCATTCGACAGTGTTTGGCATGAAAGTGTGATTGCTAAATCGAAAAAGTTTAATTTTCCACTCTATATTATGAAATTAGACAGAACTCTGCAGGTAAATTATCAAAATTCCAAATCTTAACGACTATCTGTTAGAGCAGGAGTTCCTCAGGGTAGCATTCTTAGGCCTATATTAAATAACATTTTTACTTCGGATCTTCCTGATTTGCTTCAGGGTTGCCACAAATCTTTGTTCGCCGATGACACAGGCATTTCTGCTAAAGGAAGAAGTTTTCGTGGTATTTGCAGCAGCAGAAAAGAGTAGATTTGTTTTCTTCTTATTTACAAAAAATGGAAGATTTCTCTCAACGCTTCCAAACTCAACGTATAATATATCCACATAAGCCTAGAGCTTCCTTTTTGAAACCTAGTAGTAGTCACAAAGTCACTATGAACGGAGTTTCAATTTCCTGGTAAAACCAAGTGAAATTCTTTGAATTAGTACTAGACCAAAAATTAACTTTTAAAAATCATATTGAGGGCATTCAAGCCAAATGTAACAAATATATAAAATGTTTGTATCCTCTTATAAACAGGAAATCCAAACGTTGCCTGACGAATAAACTTCTAATATTTAAACAAGTTGTTAGACCGGCTATGTTTTAGGCTGTTCCAATATGGTCTAGTTGTTGCACTACCAGGAAAAAAGCACTTCAAATGATTAAAAAAAAATGAAAATGATTTTGAACTTGCCTCCCTAGTACAGTACTACCGAGGTACATAGAATTTCGAATGTTGAGACTTTAGAACAAATGTCCATCAACATTATTATTAATTACAGGCAAAAATCGTTGCAATTGCTGATGTATTTATTTATTTATGACTAAACATCAACAGGCGTCATTGGCCCCAATGATGAACAAAACTAAACATGAAAAGTACTAAAACTAAACATCAATAAGTCAATAGTCATCTCGTACAAAAAAGGAACATTGCTAGACAAACAAAATTGATCTAGAAAAAAACGAACTAAACCTTCGGCGAAGCAGTCAAGTCAAACTCAAATAATGCGGAGACCCTATTGAAGAGTCTCTGTAAACCATCGATTGCGCTGAACATGCTATAATTAGTTCGCTGCATGGGCAGTCGCAGCATTGAATAATTTCGCAGGGCTCTGCGTTGAACATTGATGTCAATTTGCTCAAGAAGAACTGGGCAATCGGTGCGTCCTTGCAAAATATCTGCAATTAGCAATGCCCTTGCTGTATCTCTTCGGACCGACAGAGGCTCCAGATGGATCAGTTGCAAACGACTTTCGTAGTTAGGCAATCGAAAGGGATCCGTCCACGGCAGTTTACGTAGCGCATATCTCAGGAACCGTCGCTGAATAGACTCAACTCTTTCGATACCGTTGTTGTAGTGAGGAGTCCAGACAACCGAGCAGTATTGTAATATGGAGCGAGACAAGGAGCAGTACAACGATTTAAGGCAGTAGATATCCGTGAAGTCTTTGGCAATCCTGAAGATAAACCCTAGAATTCTGGAAGCTTTTTCGCCGGCATACGAGATGTGCTGCTTGAAAGAGCGTTGTGTATCCAGAATCACACCTAGGTCCATAGCAAAACATACTTGAACATAATAGTCTCTTTCTTGCGCGAAAAAGAGATAACCGAGCATTTGGACGGGTTAACCTCCATACGACTCAGAACACACCAATCGTCAAAAGCATTCAACTGACGTTGAAGGAAGCAACAGTCTTCAATTTTGTGAATCCGAAAGAAGAGTTTAAGGTCATCTGCGTAAGTTAATCGTGGTCCTTCAATTACTAGATTCACGTCGTTGAAGTAAATCAGTAAAATCAGCGGCCCCAGGTGTATGCCGGACGTGGCAGCGAACATACGGGGCTGGTGATCATGAATGACAACAGTAAGATAGCGATCGGTGAGCAACAGATAAGTCAGTATAAATGACATCCGTCTCAGCACGATCCGACATACTGTTAGAGATGTAGGAAGTAAGGCACAGCAAGTTAGTGGCAGTGAAGCGACCAGCCATGAAACCATGCTTGTCGATACTAATATACGGCTTACAGTGAGCGAGTAACGGTTCCATAACAACGAGTTCGAACAATTTAGCAACAACGCTAAGCGAAGTGATGCCACGCAATCCTCAATTGCAACGATTAATTCCCTTTATACTTAGATAAGATTTAGATTTAGTTTTTAATTTTAGATGTCAATTGTTATACTGACATGCAGGTTTAAAAAATCTGTTTAAAATAATGAAATGCCAAGGCAGGAACAATGTCAAACCACAGGCTGGTAAGCTACTGTAGTAACTGGAGAACCTAGGTTAAAATGAAGTGTAATTAATTTTGAAGTTGGAACAAAAAATGAGTAAAAAAAAACATTTATTCGGAAAAAGAGCGATTAGCGTGCCATTAGAATGGAAAATTGGGTATCGACGACACGACATATGGCCTGAGACGTCTACGACTACACGAATTAGTCAGGGACTTTGATTCGGATCTATCCGCAATCCGGATATTCGAAGTCCAGATTATCCGAAAACCGGTAAATAATTATTCATATACAGTGGTCCACAAATATCAGCATAATACTAATTTGGGTATCTGGACTTCCTCATTCATAATCGTTTATAAGTATAATTTAAATTGGTATCATTGAAGTGTTCTAAAAGTTATTCTTCATATTTACTTTAAAAAAATCTGCTTATCATGTAATATCTATTACCTTTTTATCTTTATTTAACGTCGGTCCGTGTTCCGCAATCTAGTACCAATCACCGACGGACATCGATTGCCATCCATTGACGGCAATCGAATGTGCAGGAAGGCAGCTTCCACACCTGCGTAGGATATCGCACCCATTCAAACACACATAGGCCGGGACCAACGGTTTTACTTACCTTCCGAAGGAAGACGTGACCAGAGATTTTTATGCCTTAGAAAAATCCCACCGACCTCGACTGGGATCGAACCCAGACCCATTGGGGTGAGAAAGCAGTCACGCTTACCAGTACACCACCGGCGCCGGTTAATATCTTTTACATATGATTACATTTGACATGCTCGCCATGGGAATATTGCAACATCTTTAGCTTGAAGCAACTTCTGAATTTTCTACTTAATTGGGATTGAATGGATTACATTATTTCAATGTCATAGAATGCTTGGATAGAAGTAACCTTTATAATATAGGGGAAACAGCTCTAATGTTGGCCAAATGGGCCCATCGCTAAAAATCTGCTATTTATCAATTTTATCTAGTTGAACCATTGAGACGGTACTAATGGGTACTTTTGGTCGCTATTGAAAATTTAGTCGATTGCTGAAATTATGTATGGGCCCAAATTAGGGGCATTTAGGCCGACATTGCATCCATTACTTCCCAAAAACTCAAATACCGAATTAGCCATATTTTCGTTACAAGCCAAGAACCTGTAGCTATATGTGCCTTTAATTTCATTAAGAAAAAAAAGTAATCGTTTTGAGACCTACTTCGTTTCAACAGCCCAAAAGCTTATCATCACGCAATAACGAAACGACTCCACCACCATTTTCTGTAGAATAAAACAAGCAATTTTGTTGAAGATCCATTCAATTACATATAGAAGATATAGTCCCTATTCCACTGGATGACGGTAATACTCAAATATAAATTCACCGGGAAACACGCAGCACCAATTAGGAAGCATCTCGCTTCGGGCAAAACAACACCTGTTGCATGTTTTATTGACGAAATTATGCAAAGTTTAGTAAGTGTTAATAGGCATCAAATAATCATGTTGACAGGCTGAAAATTACGATGATACAATTGCATAACAAAGAGGAGACTAGGAAATTCTGTAAATTAATTGAAGATGCTGGTTGATTCCTCCCTTAGCTCAGTCGGTAAAGGTGCAGCTATTCGGAATTTTTCGGAAGAACAAATTTCTCGCCTTCCTTGGGCATAGAGTATGATTGTACTTGCCATACAATTATACTAATGCAAAAATTAACAACTGAATGTAAATAGCATTGAGCGATTCCAATGATACTAACACATTTTAAACCTACAGTAATACCATAGAGGTAACTCTAAGACTAGAAGGTCCCGAAATAACGTGCTCAACTTTTTGGCTCAGCTCTGGTACTCTCTTCGGTCCCAAGCTGATCGATTCACCCCTCGAAACATAGGAAAAACCAATAACCCCTCATTTTATCTGTCAAACTTTCATAGCGAATCAAAACAAACATTGCGTAGTACTAGAATTTCGACTAGAATGGGGTACGTTAATCGTTTGCTTGAGACCAATAGGCTAGTCAAGTAGTGAGCCAATTTAAAATCGTTAGTTTCGTATTGATTGTTGGTAATACCATAAGCACGTGCGGAATCGATTTATGAAAAATGTTGAACAGCTAAAATCACCTACAAATCATACAATTGAAGTGGTTTAAACTCTTAACCTTCATCGATTTTGCTTGATTGGTCAAATCTTGAACAGTTTTAAAAATAGGAGTAGGTCCAATCAGAACTTTTACCAAAACTGCTAATAGGGCCCGTATTGAATTGAGTCTACAATGCATTAAATGAAAAACATCAATAGTCTAGTCACAAGCTATAATTTAATCTTTCTGCATTTATGATGTTATATTATTTATACATATCACAATTACAACTACTGCAACATCAATACCAACTGTTTCCATTTTCTTTCTAATTCCAGTTGGATACCTTGCCCATACAGCACATTCATAATTGGTTTACCAGTTTTTACCTTTAGTGTCATCATCGCACATACAACCCACAGCCACCCTACATTGTACGACTATACCGAGAAACAGTCGGACGGTTGAACAACAATTGAAGATAAAAACGGAAGAAACGAGAAGCGCTCACAACGAAAACGGGAAAATCGAGGAGGTGCTGAATAGGCGGTGTTAAGCCGACACCGCAAACGGAACCACAATGGGTAAGGATAATTGCACAATGAGAACACCAACAGAGAACCAAGATCGGTTGGATCAGAAAATTAATTATACCCACCACATCGATTATGACATTTGAGTTTTTTTAAGCGGAAAGGAACTCAAATCAAACAATGTTCTACACACTTAGTTTTTTTTTCGTCAGTTCGTCAATTTTTGTGCCGAAATTTTCACAGCCGAGTGCTGAGCAATCAATTTGACTGAGGTGATGACATCGCAGAAGTGGCTAAAAATCACCCTAATATAGAATAAATAAAAAAAAACGGTTTTACTAAGTTCTCAGCAAACACGACATTTATTTGTATAATAAAACTAATGGTCATCCATGGTCACACTTGTATAGTTCTTGTATAGTTTTTGTGAAACTACACATGTCCAAAGAGCTTCATGGAGTCTATGCCCATCATAAAAAACATAAACCAAAACCAAAATGATTATTTTGTTTAGTTTATCAACAAAATTAATGCATAGCAAGAATTCCGTTATAAGTTAGATGGTTCCAAAGACATTCTGAAATTCCTTGCAGTACCAAAGTGTAATACAGATTGTCGCCGCCTTTAGCTACTTTCTTCTCCGGTTAGGGAGAGTCTTTCGCTTTCAGGTCAGACACTGTTTCTCGATTCTAGGAGCTACTTTTTTCCCCGGTTAAGGAGAGAAGTTTTCACTTCTAGGCCGAAAGTTCTTTCGGATTCAAAAAAGAGAAGAATCTGGAGTAACCTGTGAAACTTAATTTTATTCAACAAAATTGTACAAAGTGATCTTACAGCTACGTGTTGCATTAGCAACTTATAATTATGTAAAACTTTTACTTGGTTCGTCCAGGGTTTTACATATCCCTTTCAATACCGGACTTTTGACCTAATTTTGCCTATTCTATTAGCTAGGATTTCGATCGCCCTTGAAAGGGTAAATTTGTGTTATTTGGATCTTATATACTATGCCCTCTCAGATCTGGGATTTCTCGGGTTATCTTGTAAGTTTATTTCTTTTGTAACTCAGATCTGATATGGCTCTACAAATAAGAATGAAACATTTGTAACGTTTAAACATTATAATTATATCCTTCGTTAAGGATAAACAGAGAGGGAAAGCTAAACGTAACCTAGATGCGCAAGCATGCCATGCGTGGGCGTGTTTATCCTACTTGAACGCAGAAACGTTCCTAAGTAAATACTGCAGTTAGATTATGTAAAACGAGCTCTCGCTCCTTTTGCCCTACTTTTCATTTCATATTCTTGGCCTTGGTATCAACGTCAGCTAGGGCTATGCAAACGGGATGCAACTATGTGGTTATCTTATGGTTTTGGTTTTAAATTAATTGCCTCGCGGTAACATTCCGGAGCCCGTAAATCCTTCTAGGTTTACTTATATATGATCGTTATTCCGCGAGTGTAAGATTGGATATATTGTTGGTGCACTAGGCTCACCCATGTCTACATGTGCGGTTGCTTCATCCTGATTAATGAATTCTATATTGTTTTCTCGTTGGGACGTTCTCTTCATTGCATTTCGATGAGAAAGGAAGCTTGTTAGGGAGTCCCAAAATGAAGCTAGCAATTGCCAACCTAAACCGTAAATATCGTACAATATGCGCCCATGCATTATTGTATCAATGACGAATTTAATTATCCGACTGATCATGTATATTCCTATAAACGTGGATGTTATGTTACCAAGCATATTAGACCATGACATCAACTTCTCCCAAAATTTTCCAATTATATTTTCGACAAACTTGTCTGAGACGAGCGCCTCAAAACGAAATCCTTGATACTCTGGGTGCTCACCGATCAAGATTTTGTGTAATACGTTAGACGCAACTCGTCTATCTCCTTGTTCATATATCAAGTTTCTCATCTTTATTACGCTTTCTGCGTCGTATACTCCGCTTTGCATTAAATTTGGGAGTTGTGTGTACGACCAAGTATTTAGTATATCCGTAGTAAGTTTTAAAGGAGCAGTGGTTTCCCTGATGCGACTGTCGGTCGTATACCATCTTCCACCTATTTGAAACTTAGCTGGTAACAGGGGTGTACAATCTATTTGAGTGCCTCTGTTTTGTAATGTTCGTGTTACTGGGGCGATGAACATTGTTTGATTATTATAAGCTACGGGTATTTCTTGATAACAATTGTCATCAGATCTGGGTGTTACATATACGGGTTTGCATTCAAGAATATGTAAAACTTCACCAGCTACAACTGCAGTATAGCCAGATCTTTTGATGATACTGTTTACAAACTCTGTTGGGTTAAGGCGTGCTAGAGTTAATTTAGTCTCCATTAGTGTTTTATCAATTTTGCATATTTCAGTCATAACTGTGTTATATAGTTCAACCATGCTTTGTCCAATATAATTTTCAACCAATGTTATCTTGGAATTGAAATAAGTAAACAAATCAAAATTCTTTCCTGTCCCTGATTTTTTGCTGAAAGGAGACTTAAAACCTAAAACCTCAACGATGATAATTCGTGGGTGATCGGTCATAAAACCCAAGTGGCCACAGACCTTTGTGTGTTCTCTAGCTCGTATTGAAAACAGATGTGTTTTAGAGACGGTGCTATAAACAACATTAGAATTACTGCCCTGGTTTCGAGTGTTTTTGTTTTCGGTTTTGTTCACCAGGCCCTCATAAATTATTTCAAATTCGGTTTCTTCACATTTCTTGTTGAGTGCTATGTCCCATGTGATGTAGCCATCCTCTGAATCTAAACATTTTCCTTGAGAGTATGTGCAGGCCAAACTATTTTTTAAGTAAATAGCGTCGTTTTCGTAATCTACGGTAGCAACATAATCACGTAGCGTTATTTCATACTCATAATATACCAAGGCATCGACCCAGGTATAGACAGGCGTTCTGTACGTCCCGCCTTTGCAATTACTTCCCCACACAGATCCTGTTATGAGGACTTCTCCACGTGTAGTTGCGTTCCGCTTTAATTCACGTAATCGATAGTCATGCGTTAGTCTGACAATTATTAATTGATGTGAGAGTTGACATTCTTCAGATGAAAACTCCTTTACAATGTATTCGTAACCTCTCTCATAATCAGAAGTATGAGAATGCATTCCACAATGTTTTATGCTTCGTTTAATTATAACCTTGCATTGGAACACTCTTATTTCACTTTTAACATTTCTTTGTAATACTTGTATTTGTACCTCCACAGTTGATAAGTTATTCGATGGTGGAATGCATGAAGCTACATCCAATAACGAATAACTTGTTAAATTAACTTCTGGGTTGCCGCAGTCATATGCAATTAATCCGGATCCTTCAAAGGATAATACACTTCCGAAAATTGCAAATGCTAAGTACAAAACCACCATAAAATTTGCCCATGTGACAGGCCTTATGATTTTCTTTGGTTTGGGTTTTGGTGTTGCAATTTCCGCAGCTATTTGCTTTACTTTGTCAATATCGACACGCCTTCGTTTTCCACATTCGTATCCCTGCGAGGTTTCGTCATTTACTTTGCGTATCATTCCCACAAAGCAATCTTTCTTAATGGTAGTTTCAACATCTTGGTGTTTCAACACCCGTTTTGATGCTACTTGTTCTTTTTTATTGTCTTCATTTGAAGAAGCTTCGCCTGGCGGCTCAACATCCATAATAGCCAATTTGACTACTGGTCGAGTGTATTCTCCAGAGGCTGTTTTCACAACAGCCGATCTTACCTGACCATCCTTGCCTACATGTGTTTTCAAAACAACTCCCTTTTTCCACTTTGCCTTTTGATCATCTTCAGCAATCATAACGATGTCTCCTTCCTTTACATTTTTCACAGCTTCCGACCATTTTGATCTTTTGGCTAATGAAGGAAGGTATTCGTGTAACCACCTATCCCAGTAAGTTTTAGCCATAGACTGCACTTTAATTTGAACTTTGTTGATATTAATGGCCTAACAGCTCGCCATTGGTCTGCTCCTTGCCACTGGACGTCCTTCTAGGATTTCGGTTGGCCTATAGCTTTTGTGATATTTTCGGCCTTCAGCCGTGGGAGTCCGGATTTGATGAACTTGTAGCCTTGTTGCTTGTGGTCTGCTTCTGGCCTTCAGCCGTGGGAAAGTGCGGCGTTTTATTACTCTGGCTTGAGCTACTTCTTTGTGGCGTGGTGTAAAGTGAATTTGCTAATATGTTGCCGGAACACTTTTTCTTTATCGGTACCGCGCCACAAGGTCACTGGAAACGCCTTGCTTACACAATACACTCCCTTTGGAAAGGGTTCATTTAGCCACTTTTTATATTTCTTTACTTTTTTTAATTTTGCAACCTGAATGTCGATTTCGTTGAAATACTCGACCAATTCATCAATTTCTTTTGCAAATCGTTCATGTCCACTTCCACCGATGTCCGGATTTTCTGAAACTTTTCAGATCACTTGGCTATAAGCCTACTTGGCTTTGACGAGCCCAAATGTTCGCACTATCTGACCTTTGTCAGATTTGCACTTTGGCTCAACGGCCCACTTAAAACGCCAACTTTGCGGTTCTTTGCAGTCAGATTTCGACTGACTGCTATTTGGCTTAACGCCACACTATTTGGCACAAAGGCCCACTGGAACTGCCAACTTGCGGTTCTTTACAGTCAGATTTCGACTGACTGCTATTTGGCTTAACGCCACACTATTTGGCACAAAGGCCCACTGGAACTGCCAACTTGCGGTTCTTTACAGTCAGATTTCGACTGACTGCTATTTGGCTTAACGCCACACTATTTGGCACAAAGGCCCACTGGAACTGCCAACTTGCGGTTCTTTACAGTCAGATTTCGACTGACTGCTATTTGGCTTAACGCCACACTATTTGGCACAAAGGCCCACTGGAACTGCCAACTTGCGGTTCTTTACAGTCAGATTTCGACTGACTGCTATTTGGCTTAACGCCACACTATTTGGCACAAAGGCCCACTGGAACTGCCAACTTGCGGTTCTTTACAGTCAGATTTCGACTGACTGCTATTTGGCTTAACGCCACACTTTGT